CCCCCCCCAAATACCCTTAACATTTGGGCATCCCGTTAAAGAAGACACAGACCTGTAATCAGCTAGAGCCATGCAAGGGCTAAAAGTGTTAGGTGAGAGGGGCCTTTGGGATCAACACAGCTGTTTACTGATGATGGATTTCATACATACAAGTTAAACTTGGAGACAGAATACCGAGTTTGCAACCACATCTCCTCTGAGGCTGTACAGATTACTCCGCTGTTCACTTTTATGCCCTTTGGGGGTTTGATTCTCAATCCTGTCTTTGTCCATGGACAGTAGCCCACAAGTTTTATCTGAAACCTCTCTAAAACAACAAGGATCTACTTTGGCAGACTTGATGCCCTGGGAACAGGCTATAGCTGCCTTCATGTTTTCTTTGAGTATTTTTTGAGGAAGTGTCAGTGCAAGGAACAGTTTATGAGTTTGCTGACGATACAGGAGTAATAAGCATTTCTATTGACAGTTAGCCTTTTGCAGAACAGTGTTTGCCAGTCACTTGGGAACCAAAAAGAGCAGAGAAGCCCTAGAGAATCATCAGGTGAGCATTTGGGGTAAGGGGTAAATATTAGGGTGCACAATATAGGATTGAAGATGAAAAGATGGGGCTGTTGTTGGGACGGGCTGGTAGGATGTAGGCATATGGATTTGAATGGAGGCCTATAAATTAGTAGGTGTATGAGCAGATGGACTGGGAATCGAAGGGGGCCCATATAGCAAGGCTATAGTGGTTAGGAAATTAGGTGTTGGGCACAGATAATGAGGCTGTTGTCACCGGCTGCGGGGATCTGGAGAATGGGTGTTGGGCATATCTAAAATTGTGAAAGTTGGGATGTGGGTGAACTGAAGTTGTCACGGGTACAGGGGTTAAGGTAAAAGGAGCGGCGGCTAAGGGCTAGGGAACCAAGCAATAATCCCAGCCAATCCTGAATTTGTCCATCTCAGTCTCAGCTGTCCAGAGGGCAATCAGATGGGCCCACGTGAAGCCCCACACTTTCCTTTCCACCACACAGCGCAGTTAGAGCGCAGCTGGGCTTGTTTTCTTTGTTTGCCAACCAGTGACATGGAAAACATTTGTTGACTCAGAGTGCTTTTTTGTCGACTGATGTGTTTGGTAACTTTGTCAGATGTGACTTGTCCACACTGCTCCCCAGAGACAGGATTTGGGAAAGGGGGAGGAGGAGGAGGCGACGGGGGTGGAGCTGGCATCCAATCCTCTCCAATACCACCATCCCATTGTAGTGCAAAACAGAAAGGAAACAAAACCCTAGAGTGAAAGAGGAGCATCAAACGTCAGAGGAACTCTGCCATTCAGGTGGCGGGGAGGGATGGGACTTGGAGTTTTATTTTTGTAGGGTTTTTTAATTATTATTTTGGTTTTTTTGTTGTTTTTGTTTGCTTGGGTTTTTTAGAAAATTGGGGATTTGTTCTTTTTTTTTCCTTTTTACAGACCTTCATGACAAAGCATAAAAACACAGTTATATTTATATATCTATTTATATATTTCTTCATTTCGTCGGTTGGTTTGTAAATGTTGCTCCATCCTCCTGTCTGAGCTGATTGTGTGTCACAGAAATTGTGGGTGTATGTGTGAGGTTTCTCCCAGCTCTGGCCTGCAAAGTCACCACGCATGAGGTGCAGCCAACTGTGGGGGAAGCCACGCTGGAGAGTGGGGATGAGGTGCACAGAGAACCCCTCATGGGGTGGAGATAGTTACTTGGTCCTTTTCTTCATTGCCAGATGGGCCAGGTCTCTGTACCACCATCTCGGCTCTAGCCGCACTGTTCACTCTGTCCTCGGAAACAGGGTGAGCATCACAGGTTAGATATGTTGAAGAGTCCACCACAGAAGAGCGTATCTTTGGGGAAGAGTGTTTCATGAGCGGTGTTCTCCCCTGCTTCCCCTGGCCCCTACCGCTCCCAGAAGAAGGGGGTCCTGTAAGGCAATGGTTGCCAGCTGCATTGCTTCCCAGTCCCCCTGAAGTCCTGGAAGCCAAGGGGACTTCACATGGTTGAGCTTTGCCCAGGTGCGGTGGAGGGCTCCCGCAGGAGAAGCCATTTGGCCGCAGGCTCTTCCCAGTGTGGGGGGAGCGGTCGGAGTGGAGGACAGGGGGAGGGCAGGGGGGTCTCAGTCTCGTGTGGTGAGCGCTTGGTCTGGCGCCTTCGTGGCGAAGAGGAAGGAACTGGACTGTGGGGAGGAATGGAGAAGGTCTCTTCACCCTTCCCAGGGATGGAGGGAGGTGATCAGACAGGTACAATGTGGAGGCCTAAGCTGTCGCCCTGCAGTTTCATGTGGTTTCCATGGTAACTAGTGGCGGTCATAGGCAGCGGCAGCAGTGGGAGGTGCGGAGCCCCGGGATGTGGCACTATAATAATAAGGGGAACCTGAAAGTTAACACAGGAGAAGAATGGACTGGTTGAAAGGACAAACAGTAAAAAAAAAAAAAAAAAAAAAAAAAAAAAAAAAAAAAAAAAACAAACCAACAATCAAAAGAAAAAAGGGAAAGAAACAAAGGAGAACTGAAAAGGAAAGGAAGAAAGAAAAGGAACCAAAAGAACAAACTTGGGGACTCAGCTTTTAATTAGGGAAAGGCAATCAGTGGAAGCCAGCCGAGGGCCGCCTTTCAGTGGAGAGATGGTACTGTGGCCTCTGGCTCTGAACCCTTCTATGGGAAGGAGATCCTTTTGCCCCTTCTGACCATCAGTACGTTGCCAAGAGGGAAGCCCATGAGCACTGCAGCACAAATACGCCACACCTGATCCATGGCCACGAGGAAAGTGTTGGGGTCGGATGTTCTGAGCATACCTGACAAAGTATAGTGGGTCACTTTTAAAACCAGGAGGGGAGAAATGAAACAAAATTACCATGTTTTATTGCTTGGGATTTTGGTCACATTTGGCATGAAAGCTCTCTAGATGGTTATTGAATGTGTGTTAAATAGTGATTGATTATTAAGATCACATTTACTGAGGTTTAACAACACTGGAATAAAATGTGCATCTATTATCCAGTTGTTAAACCTCAATAAATACGTAGGTAATAATCACAGCTGATTTATTTTACATATAATAAATCTCTTCCTATTCCCTTGCAAAGAAATGTTGTAGTAGAAGAGATGGTCTTATAGGAGGTTTTTTCTCCCTCTGAAAAAAACCTGGCTATTTCTGGGCATACTAGAGTCACTGGACATTAATATATTCCTGCAAGAAAACTCTACTGTCTATTATAAACCTAGTAATGCAGCCTGTCTCCCACTCTGGACACTGTTCCAACTGGTCTGATAGGAAGAACTTCTGTGGGACTTCCAGATCCCCAGGAACTGACTCTGTGTTTAGCTTGGGAGAGGAGTGAAACCTCATCTGGAATTTTTTAATCAGACCTTGAATGGATGTTAATTGCGGCCTCAGAGAGCAGCAGAACCTGAATTTAACTTCTGATCTAATCTGGAATAAACTGTGGATGCAGCCCAAGGAGAAGCCAGAGCTGAAATGGAATTTAGAATTGTCTCATGGAAGAGGCTTCAGAACACATGAGGTATATACCTATCTAGACACTGGACTGGAAAGTGAGGAAAAGAGCCTCTTATCTGGCCAAATACTTGAAAGCCCTCTTCAGAAACAAAACAAAACAAAAAAAAAAAAAGAAAGAAAACAAAGAGACAAACAGAAGGAGCGCGAGGCTGGGGGTGTGCTGTGGGAAAGAGGTACTCACTTAGTAATGCAGAACCGCCAGGCCTCGTTGTAGGTTGTGTACTGAGGGTGGCTGTAGGGGTTCCCTGAGAACTCGCTCCCTGGAAGAAAGCAAGGAAGGTGTGAAAAACAGTTAAGAATGAAAATTTATGTCTGCTATTCCATCAAGCCAGTGTTCATGTTGAGTCTGTATGCCAGCAGGAAAACTAGTGTGTCTAGCTTGCTTGCCCAACTGGGACTGTGCCCTTCAGGACACTGTAGTGTTTGTTCAGTGCAATGTTGCTTACCCATACAATCAAAAATTGTAACATTGACCTCTTCAGAATCAAGAAATTAGTTTAAAATAATGAAATTCAATAATACATATAAATAAACTGGTTTATTTTTCATTGCCTTCTGACTTCTGATTCTCAGGTTGCAGTAGGAATGCATATGCAAGCTTTTTCTGCAACTATCAGCTTTCTTTTAAATAGGATCTAAGGTTCTCCGGTTGTGTCAAGACAGCAGGCATGGGAGCCTGACAGTACAAGCTCACAGTAAACTTATTGGAACCAGTGGCGCTGTTGATGAAAATATGTATTGCTAAGTTTTGTTTGTAGGGTACTGAGGGTGATGACGTGTTTGTGGAGAAAAGTATCATTTGTTATTGGAAATGTTCTGAGTGTAAAGTGGTTTAAATATAAAATGAAATGGAAAACATATTCTTTCTCTATATGATGGTATTAGAAAAGCGATTCATATATGATGAACCTCACCTTTATGCTTAGAGAGTTACAGAGAAATCTTGCTGTATTCCAGTTCCAGAAAATAATTTTCTAATGATTAGCACTATTCTGAATCTAAAAACAAGCTGGGCTACAGCTCTCTTCATATTCAGTAAAATGTGCCCAAATCAAAATACTTGTGAGCTTTGTCATCTAATAAGACTCTATGATTTGTATGTTGTAGAGTCTTTTTGAATATTTAGTTTTATTGTGCATAAGGAGATGAGTCTCCTTGTTTTATAGAAGTCTGTGCAGGGCTAAGGGAATTATATTTGGTAACTGAGGAAGCATGGTACTGCATTCAAAATAAATAAATCTCCCAAAACTTAAAAATATATGATTCTGTTAAGTAAAAGCATGCCATTATCTGATCATAACCTCAATTTAATGCAGTACTAACAGGCTGGGGACAATTAGCGCTATCTGAAAGGCATTATGCATTTAAAAGACAGTGAAAGAGCAGTGAGACTATTAGCTTCTAGTCTGCCCTGAGGCAGGGGTGGAGTTGTTATAACAAAAGTGTTTGGAAAGCACCTGGGGTTCCTGCTAGATACCATGGAACAGGGAAAGAAGGCAATGCAAGATGTGCTGGATGCCTGTGATACAATTACCAAAGAAATGTCAATTAATTATACTGTAATCTCTGCAAATCTCCCCTCACCAGAGAGTTAAAGCCAAACCCACGGATTCTCAGATGGTGGAAACGAAGTCTGTTGAAGTCAGGGGATTTGCACTGGTTTAAACTTGAGGAGAATATGTCCAGCCAGGTTCTTTAAAGACACTTGGGGTATTAACCAAATAAATCAGTATGAAAACATGTATGTATTGAAAACAATCACCATCCAAAGGTATTTTAGTCATAGTAGGTTTTAGTTTCAGCATAAAACCTCATTTTGTGTGACAGACCTTGCTAAATACTGTTTTAATTATAATAACTTGGTATGTTTCCATGTCTAGAAACATCCTGCACTGAAAATCCTGACAGCTAGCTGGGAAGGAATAGGTGAAACCTGCTAAGGTGACCAGGATGCTGTGGGATAGAATACGAAGGCAAAAAGCAATGCATAGTCCAGATTTACCTCTACCAAAGTGACTTATCTGTGGGATATACTAGAATGAGTTTGCCCCCCAAAGAAGGAAAAAACCTATCCAGATGAATATTTCTGCTTTGAAATGCCTCATATAAACATCAGTTCTCTGCATGGAGGGAAGTTGTGATATTTCAAAGCTTCTCTCTCACCCTCTTCTGAGTTGTCCCCCTAAACTGTTTATAGTGTTCCTAAAGAATGGGTTAAGTAGAGAAGAAAGAGCCCCAGCTACGGAGAGCTGGGGAGGAGGGAGGGCAGCCACTGGAAACAGTGTTTATTGACGAGGAGTGAAAGCATGCATGCAGCAGGATAATGAGCTTTTGAGCTCAACTGTGACCAAGAGGAACTGAGCTATTGCCTTCCCCGATCACTAATGAAACAAGTGTAATTTCCTCATCAACATTGGATTCTGTTTAACGACTCCCTGCCGTTGCCATCACCAGCAGGCTCGACGCTGCTCTGTGTAAACTGCAGTTCCCTTCAGCGGATGCTCACTTCACCAAAACAGTGCGGAAACTTGATGGCCTTTCTGAATTGAGACAGGGATAAAAGGTGCCCTGGTACCTGTGCAGGAAACATCTCTCAGATGCACAGGTTAAGTGTACCACAATACCTGATTTGTCTGTCTTTGAGCGACTAACCCCTGCTTTTTCAAGTGTGTGCTCAGATACCACTGGCTTTCATCCACGTCTACAGCCTGGGACCTGAAGTTACAGGCAAGGGCAGAATGTATCTTGCCACACAATCCACATAAACCTCAGAGATATTTGCGTGCATGACTGACCACGTTGCATGGATGTACTGCTACCGGAGACGAGCTCTTCTCTAGACTATGCAAGTACAAGTCTAGTGAAAGGTTGTCACGGATAGAATAGAGCAGCTTTGGTTAGCACTGGTCAAACAATCTTCTCAGAAACAGTTTTCCACTGGAAAATGCTGTCTCATTGAAATGGAAATGTTTTGCACAAGCTTGTCAGTTTCAATGGAGTTTTGGAAACAAAGTTCTGAAATGATTGCAAATTGAAACAAAGTATTATGTTTCAACTTTCTTGTTTTGTTTCATTTTGCCTTTCTCGTCTCATTTAATTTCCTTTCAACTCTTTTATTATTTTAATATATCTTGACATCTAGAACATGTTGACGTTATTGAAATGTTTTATCCTGATGTTTGCAAATTGAACTATTTCAAGATTCTGAATCCTCATCCCAATGTAAGATGAAAACAAATGTCAAAAATCAGAGTTTTGCATGGATTGGAAATTCTGCTCTCTGACCAGTTCTATTTTTAGCTCTGCACCTTTATGTAGAGAAGACAGAGCCTCTTTCTGGTATTCACTCACACCTGGACACTAAGGTTCGTTTGCATATCAGTGTGTTTCTTAGAGATGCTCCCTGAGTGGTCATCGGGGCTGGCTTCTTGTTTCCAATGTAGCTAAAGCACTGGCCCCTGATCTTTCTTGGCCTGGGGGTGACATTGTAATTGTTTTCTCTGTTCAACCTGGGCTCTTAACAGAGGTTGCAAGCAAGCACAGAGGATCGATCTCATGAGGCCTATATTCTGTGCAATCTGTGCTCTGGGAACCTTTACTAACAGTATTTCTTGGTATCTGTATTTAAATCTTGGCACGTTTAGTCTTCTAATACAGAAACCATGAGGCATGAAGTGAGCCTAGCAGGTGGCAGGTTCAGAACAAATAAGGGAGGTAGTTTTCACACAATATGTAGTTAGGTTACAGAACTTCTTGTCATAGATTGCTACAGATGTTAAAGGCTTATATGGGTTCAAGAGATACTGTTTAACTTTGTGGAGGGAAAACCTATCAAGGGTGTTTAACGCTAAAATAGAAGGATACTAAGTCTGGCTTAGGAAGTCTCTGAGCTGCAAGTTGTTGGAGGCTGGGAGATCTTTTGAGAAAGTACTGATATGTGCTTGCTCTACTCTTATTCCCTTCGCCAGGCATTCACTTTTGGCCCCTGACAGAGAGTAGTGGCTGCAGAGATCTGCAGTGTGACCCATTAAAGCAAAGTCTTATGTTCCTTCCCAGGAAGCCTCTTTATCTCTAGCTTGTTGGCTTCAATCACATTAGAAAACAGGAATAGAAGGACTGCCAGGCTGAGTTTGACCAGTGGGGTATGACTGAAACAGCCAGAACTTGATGCTCTATGGAAAGATGCAGTAACTACTGCAGGATGCCCAAGTAGGCCACCGGAAAAACTTCCTCTAATTGAATGCTGACATCAGATTTGATGTAAAGATATCCATTTGACTGGAATAATCTTTTTTTCTTTGAACTATAAGTCAACTTTTTTTCTTTATCATTCTGTTCCTACCTTGAAATACCCTAATCTTGGATAAGTGACACCTGTGATTAGTGGTCTTAAATTTTTTGTGCCAGTTTAGATGTCAGTATCATACTTGTAATGAAGATGTTAAACTTACATAGCAATCACTGAACAGTTGAGAAGTTGAAAACAGTTAGGAGTTGAGAAGAGCCCGTTTTTTAGAAGTACCTATTCAAAGAGCCAGCTATTTTGGTGTTATTAACCATTTCTATATGCTAAGACTTTCTATAAATTTTGACCTATAATTGACTTGAATCTTGATAACTGAGTCTACCTACTGTTACGGTGTGAGTATTAAATTGATTTGTATTGTCTTAATGCTTCTCTGATTCTGGAGCCAAACCATCTCCCTGAAAAATTTAGTGTAGAAGGAGATGCCCTAAAATTTGCCAACTCTACATCACCCCAAAAGTTCAGCAAGCTGGTCAACTATACCAAGGGACTAAAGTGGGGGTGAGGAGGGGACCAATCCACTATCTTTTCCTGATCTGGAGGTCAATCACATCATCTTCACAGCATAGCCTGTGGCTTTGTTTTGCCTTAGGATCATAAGCAGTAGGTAGTTTGTTAGCTCTGGAATGTGACCGTAGGTATTAGACAGTACTTCACAGTATATAAGCAGTGATCTGTCATTTAAAGATGTTAAGACTTTGACCTGAAAACATTTCCTACCAGTGATATTTTCACTGTCCGCGCTGCAGTGTAAGTTTGTTTAGCTAGCTGTTCTGAGATTTGGATGAGAGTTAAGTTAGGCTTGTCACTCATAAGCCCTGGCAAATCATATCATAGTGATTTAAGAGCTTTCTGGCCTCAGCTTTCTGCTGCTTCAGTTCTGGAGTCATCCCTCCAGTAGCAGAGGCTGCAGAATGGACTGTGTAGCTGCTTGTTGGCCATCAAAACTCACAACCCAGGGCAGCAACATAAACAAATCAGTGGCAGATAAGTTCTGAGCTCTGAGATACCATGGCAGAGAAATGAAAATCCTGCCTCTTCATTTATCTGCTGGGGATAACTGTCATCAGAGGACTGGGGAATAGAGCCTGGGGAAATAAACTCTTCAGTTGCCCTGGTCCTCTCTTCTCCCTAAACAGTGGGAGAATCCATTTGCCAAGAGAAGGTATTTCTCCAAAGGCATTAGGTAGCAAAGAAACAGTTTGCCTTTGGATGTAGAATTAGGTAGATAGTTTCTTGGATTGGAGGTACTATCTCACAAACAGGAGGTGGGTAAGTGGTTGGTTGTTGAAAGTGAATAGTTAATTTCTCCTGAAATGCTGTTAATCATTGCTGAGTTCTTAGCTAGTTTAGGCTATGGACAGTAGGTCTCCAAAACCTGCAGGTATTAAATTACCATTGATGATTTTCAGTTTGATGCCCTGGCTTTAGATAGAAGGTAAGTTGTTACCCTAAGTTAGAGGATAGCTGAATATCCTGAGCCACGAGCAGTACATAATAATCTGCACGGGTCATTGGAAAATAATTACATTAGTTAATGAATACTAAGGTTAATTAATTACCAATTAATTGCCACAGGTTATAGATAGCTAGTTGCCCATAGCAGCAGTGAATCAGTTACTAGGGGGAAAGAGATACATTACAGAAAGGGTTGTTAGCTACATTGGTTATAGGCACCTGATGATTTCTTTATGAGAAGAATAGGCCTTCATATCAGCAAAGCAATAGCAAAAGCCAACTGTAACAGCTCTTACAATGCTAGTATACCATTCAAACGTGTGCACTGTTACTGAAGTCTGGAGGCTGACTTACCAGGAACCATTCCTGCAAGAGTTGAGGTTGGGTAGCTGCCTTGTCCAGTTGGGGGAACATGGGGTGGGTAGCCAGGCAAGGTGGTGCTTGCCATGTCACGACCTGGAAAGGGAAAGAATCAGAACAGGTGATCAATAGGGATAAGATCTTTCAATATTGATTTGATATCACCTCTTGTCCCACCATCACATGACTAGCAGCTTGATAGGCAAGTGCTGTGCAGCCTTCTCTTACATAAGTGCTGTCCATCCACTGAAAACTTTGGGGGAATATTGTGGCACTTTTGATCTCACACTGTAAGGATGGATGTTAAAACTTAGCTTTGTGAGGCTCAAAAGAATTTGTTTCATTGTAGATTTTGGATCTGTTTTGACTAAACCAAAATAGCCCTGAGCTGCAAGAGGATGGCATCATATTCATTGCCAATGTAGCTGTGGTCCTGTCTATATGCAGTGGATGCAGTTCCAGAACTGTGGTGATGTTGCTTTAGGGCATGATCAATGTGCAAGACATTGGAAAGTGATCCAAGAGTTTTCTGCGCTTGTCTCTCTTCCCACCTCTGCTGTTCACCTGCTGATGATTTTGGGCAAGTCATTTCACCTCTCTGCACTTCTTTTTATGCTGCAAACTCTTTGGTGCAAGGGCGCACTTTTAGTACATTTGCACAGTGCTTAGCATGGGATCAATACTGGTTGGACTCCTTCCAGGTGCTGGTGTAATATATATAATAGGATCATTCAAATTAGTTTGAGTCCCACTTCATTTTTACCATAGATACAAGTTTTTGTTAGTAATACTTAAAGTTGTGATTTCTTTTCTCCACCAGAGAAGTAGAGAGGGGTGTGGATGGGGTGGATGATTGTAATTTATTTTTCATCTCTTAGGAAGTGCAGCTGGAGGCTTCTTGGTTGATGCCAGAGGCATTTCCTCATTTGGACTGGTTAGCCTGAAAATGGGCCAGCCAGAAGGGCATTTGCTGTTAGTGCTTATTGCATTTAAATGAACTAAAATCATCTCAGAAGCTGCTGGGAGTTTCAAGCCAAAACCAAAACAAAACAAAAAAAAAAAAAAAACCAACAACAAAAAAAAACCCACGGCTAAATAAATTAAGATAATCTTTCCCCCACAGCTGCTGGGAGATTTACAGCTCAACCTCCAATGCTGCCTACTGAGATCTCAGCCTGTTCCAGACATCCAAAGCCTTTCACATTCCCTAGGTTAACTGTAGCTCACCAAGAAGTTTGTGCCATTTGTTGTTCCTTTGTTAAATTTTGTCTTTCCTGTCTGTTCTAACTGGAGGGCTGGAGTCTGATTCACCTTTAGAAGTAACAGGTTAAGTATGGCCCATTAACACCATTGGTGTCACTGGAACTGTGCTGGGGTATGCCAATGAAAGAAGAATAAGAGTTGGTTTAGCTCTACTAGTGGCAGAATGAAAACTGGTAACTCAGGTTCTGGAACAAGCATAGACCTTGGCTAGGGAATCACAAATAAATAACAGTTACACAGCAAAGCAAAAACTAATCAACACAGAGCATTAACCTGAAGGGAGGAAGTTTCTCTGGGATGTGGTAGGCTAAACTAGTGTTCATTGCTTTCATAGGTCTTGACTAAAGATTACTGAGGTGATTTGCTCAAGAAAAAAGAAATGCAAGTTCATTCTTTCTCCCTGAAGAGGTTCCTGATCAGTGGCTGATGTTCCTAGCTCACCTCCTCAGATAATGGCGCAGAACTACCAGACAACAGCTGAGCCATTTTCCAGCCACTCCCCAATGCTGATAAAAATAAATATATAGTGCCTCAGGGATTTATATTCTATACTCTTCTACTCTTTTATCACCATCATTCCTTTAGTGATTTGTAGCTGTGTGTTAAGCTGTATGATTAACACCTACTAGATACAGTTCGTTGTTTTTTTTTTTCCCCTCACATTCTTTTCAGGCAAGAAAGCTTTATGCTTAAAATTCATGTTCTTTTGGTTTCATTTATTGACTAGCCTGAGAAATAACAACAGGTGATGAGTGAGAAAACAGTGTCACTGAAAAGTTAGAGAGAACATTATGTAGCAGCAGGCAAAATTAATTCATTTTGACACTTCCATTCAGGTGGGAACACATACACGCTCACTCTACTACTCGATCTATGCACATACACCCCTGTGTTTTTATTCAGACATGAGCACACAGAGGCTGATGTTCAAAACTCAGTGTGGAAAATTCATTGGGAAGTGATCATCTGTCAAAATCCCAGTCTTGACAAAGAAGATAACAAACAAGTACAGTATCAGCAACATGAATAAGGGCCCCACAGAGGGACTCTTAAAATGCTGTCACGTACAAGCAGGCCCCTCCCATTACCTCCTCTCATTACCAACAGGTAGACAGGATTATTAAATTATTGTATCCAGGGCTATGACAAAGCTCGCACCTATCCTGCTCATAACATGCTTCCGACTCCAGCCATTCTCCCTTCTCCAAGAGCCTTCTGAGTGAGGAACAGCACCTTCATCTCTGTGACATTGTTTGAGCTTTTGAACACTTTCTCCTATGTCTAATTCTCCATAAGGGTCCTAAGGCAGCTTCCTCTCCTGAAACACCGTGCCTTCTAGGCTAAAGGGTCATCATATGTGACTGCATCCCCGGAGAACTGTATTGTTGGAGAGAGTCTGTCAGGTGACTCCTTGGCTTAGGAAGTGCCTGGAGCTCAGAGGCCCTTACTGGCTGCAGTAAGATTGGACCAAGACAGTGTTACAAACACAAAAGTCTTCTCTGCTGTTACTTGCTGCTTTCCTACAGGGAGGTTTAGAAATGCAAATCTCACCTGACAAGACAAAGGAGGATGTTAGGTCAAAAGAGAAAAATAATATAGGAACATGAAGGAGGCGGAGGTGAGGTGTGTTTTCTTTCGTGAATATTAGGAACTGCGGTCTGCACTAAGACTTGGTTTGTTCTGAAAAAGCCCAAGTTACATTCTTTGACAGTGGAGTGACAACAGCCTCAGTGGTCATCTCAAATGATACCCGCTATTTCATCCAAGTCACCCCTGAGCTTCTGCAGCAATGTTGCTTCAGTCACCTCGCACAGGACTAGTACCTACCTGAAACTTCTCCTTCCTCCCCTCCAGCCTGCTGCTCCTAAGCGCTGCCATCTTCTGCAACCTATTTCTTCACTTCTGTCCTTCCCTTCAAGGCAACCTACCTCAGGTCTGTATTTCTTTGGCTGTAAGACATTATAGTCTCTCAGCCACCCTTCTTAATTACTTGGTCTGCTGTGTGAAGGCACCAGCTCACATTGACACTCCCAAAGTAGGTGACTCAAATATTGCTCACAGCATAGCTATGGTAGTGCTCACCAACTTATCTTAGTAGTTTGTACAACCCATGCTGAACGACCCTGTCAGTCCCAGAGCTGGCTAGGTTATTGAAGCTGCTGTCATCTCCTTAGGCTAGCACACAGTACCCTTGCTGGGCCGACAGTACTCAGGGGCGTTATGACTATTGAGGCAACACAGGGTTTTGCTGTATGAGTGTTGCTGTACTAAGTCCCAGACCCATCCAACTGGGACACCCAGTCGCTTCTAGGTAGTTACAGCTTCTTTTCCCATTTTATTCTAAAAAATGAAGGACAGGCATGAAATCTTTTTGTGACTCTCCATGGAGCTAAGAACGCATGCTGCATACACAGAACTGGAATATGGTTGCTCTGGTTCCCACTTGCACTCAAAGAGCTTGCAGCATTTACTGGTCTCCCCGTCAGACGAAACTGAACCCCTTGCCTGCAGCATCCCCACTGAGTTTGTGGCCAAGGCCAGTTACCTGCTATCAGAGGCTGGCTGCTGGACTGCCCAAAGTGGGCACCATGATGAAGGAAGGCACTGTAGCAAGGCGTGGACGCATCGTCTGAAAGGGCCATGTGGAAGGGCTGAAGATCAGCCTGCCCAGAGCCGACCGGCGTGGTGGGGGTGAAAGGGGTGAGAGAGGCTCCATGAGGCTCTTGCTTTATACTGAGGGGAGAGGAGAGGTTTTCTGTGGTAGGGTAAGGGATGGACACAGACAGACAAAGGGAACAGGGGGAGGAAGAGGAGGGTGGGGAAGGGAGGAGAGGAAGAACAAAATGGGTAAATGAAAATGGAGTGGTTAAAATCTACAGGGAAATTAATTTAAAAACAAAAATAAAAATAAAAAAGGTTAGGAGTAGATCAGAGGAGCCAGTGCTGAGACAACAGCAGTAAATGCACCCGGGGGCTAGGCTCTGACTGCAGGGAGGCCTCTGCAGGGGCAGCAGGAGATGAGGAGAATGGAGTGCAGTGGCAGATGGGGGGAACGGGATGCAGGAAAGGAAAGGTGAGGGAGGGAACGTGCAGGAGAGGGAGGAGAGGAAGAAGCGTAGGGTTGGGAAGGAGAAGAATGCTCTGAAGCTTCTGTGCTCCCTTTCCTGCTGCTTTGTCTCACTGGCTCAGGGTGCATGAAGATGCTACACTTAAGAGAGTTTGGCCCAGGGAATCATACCACTTTGTCTCTTCAAACCCAAGGTAACCTTCCCCAGGAGAGCAGTGTGGTTATGAGCACCTATTCAACAGGATGCTCGGTATAATGACCAAAGTTTCTCAAGCCAAACTCTGACAAAAAAGGTGTAGCTGAAGTTTGACATGCTTAAAATAAAAATGGGACTTTGCAATTAATAGGTGGATAGACAGATGACTCAATTGATCTTGTTCACAGTGGCATGCTTTGGAGCTTTAACCATAAAAGCAGTCAGTACTTACTCTGGTTGTTCCCAGAGTATAGCATTGCCAGACAGATACCTTGACAGAGAGATGCAATGGAGGAGAGGAAATGCGGGGGGCTTATAAAAGGTCTCATTTTTCATTGTTGTTTGCATTGGACCTCCATTTCTGATGTGCGGATTTGCATAGGCACAATAGATACAGCTTTGCAACTGCTCCTAACTTGGCTGCCAAGTAAGAGGTTTGGGAATTGGAGAACTCTGTAACCTAAAGCATGGGTGCTTCAGAACACCCACTGTTGTTGGGTCAGCAGTAATAGAGTCCTGTATTTGAACACCTGAAAGAGAAGTATGGATGATGTGATCAGATCCAATCCA